GTAGCTGTGATGCGAAAGATTGGAAACTTCTATTATGACTTTAAATACGAAGTACAAGTTTCGGCTTGGTAGATGTAACTTGTTACGTTAGTATTCGAGATACTGGAACGTCACATTCAGTTTTAAAGGACAGCTTGTCTACAAAGATCAAACAAAAATATTTGAAATAGTCTTAGAAAAAAATCCAGAATTATACTTTTTAGATTTAAAAAAACTATGTGAATAAAAACAATTGTAAAATTGTTCATAGTGTCTGTGATCACCAAACAAAAGCCAAATAAATCTTGATTATGAAAGGATGTTTCTGTAGCTCCTGCATTGACTATGACAACTCACAATCTAAGTGGTGTAGTTTTTGATTCTTAACCATGTTCTTGATAGTGTTAAAAATGTACTTTTCAAGAGATAGGTGGTAATGCAGGGAGTGAGTAGCAAGTAGAAAACTGTAGTTCCAGTCTTAATCTGGACTTCCAGTTTGAAAACTGATAGCCTAGTGCTGCTTCTGTTACCTTAAAAAAAAAAAAAAAGTCAATAATTAGTAAGCATCAGATGTTTTCATCTGTTCGGCATCTAAGAGTTTGCATGTGCACTCGCGTGTAAATAACTGCTTTAAGGAAGATTCACAAAGCAGCCCTCTTGAATGTTAACTGATCAGGTGGTGTTGTGTTGGAACCGTATTGGAATTTCCCCAACTCCTGCCTTAAAATCAGTAAAGCTTCAGATGTCTGGGGAAAAATGAACCTAGGCTGTGAACTCTTCCCCCGGTAGCCGAGTTTACGTAAAGGAGGATTGCATCAAATGCCATCCATAGAGGATGAGCCGTGGGACAGCCTGGGCAGGAGCAGGGAGGGAAGCACAAGACAACTTCCCTTTTGGTGCTGATGAGCCGTTAGGTGAGCTTACTCTGCTGTGAGCAAGTGTACCCGCTCGATAAGGTTGCGGGTTGGCAGAGTGGCATTTCAAATAAAACATACCTGTGCAGAGAGGTAATTTGTGTAGTACAAAACTGTCCTGATTCTTCCTTGCTGGATTTGAGAAAATTAAATCAATCTTGCTCAAGATTTAACAGCCTTTCATCAGAAGGGGGCATATTAAGTATATATTACTTAACCTTAAAAAAATCAAATCTAGTACAGTATTACTTCAGTTTTCCCACAAAGCACGAGGTTGTTTTGGTTTGTTTTGCGTTTTTTTTCTCCCCCATTTCACATTATTTTGCTGAATTGCAGCAGGTAGTAGCCTGGTTTTATCTTACCAGTCTATTTGATGCCAGTCAGACAGGTGGCAACCTTGTCTTGGGAGGAGTCAAGATCAAAAAGTAACGTTCATTGTTTTTTTTTTTTTTTTTTCTCCCCCTTGACCAAGAACTTGTTTATGCTCTTAACACCTGCAAGCACAGTATCTGCTTCCTGTACATTTTTGGTGCCTTTTTCAAATCGCCATGTGGTTATTTCTAAAAAACACTTTAGTTTCACCTCTAACTTGTTTTCTTAAACAAAGCTTTCATTTGAAAAAGCATTTTACCATTTTTACCTCTTCAATATTTAAGCAACGTTTACCTTTTCTTTAGCTGATCTATAGGATGTGCTCCAACACCGGACCACGATATGCTTCTGGTCCAGTTCCACCACGGCTCTGTTCCTAGCAGAGCGCACCTGCCTTTGGCAGCGGCTTTGGCTTCAAGTTCTTGGATATTCCCAGACTGTAAATTTATGCCATTTTTTCTAACGGCCCCTGCCTTCCCCCCCTAGTGCCCCTTCCAGCTACCTTATTTGTTGGTTTCATTTAGTAGTAGCCTGACAT